GAATATTCATGATTGAACAGTGGAGGTGTGCTGGATGTTCCCTCGGAAAGGCGGTGCACTTCTAAACAAACGATTGTGTCGGTCCTTGTCTATTAACTCTGTTCAGTCAATTTACTTGTTCTCAATGATATTTCTTCCTCGTTGCTCTACAACGCGCTCCATCCTGCTCCTAATACCACCAACGTATTTGACGCATTCTTCTGGGGTGAGCGTTTTCCAGTACTTAACGATAGCAACCTTGAGCTCTTCTAAACTTCGAACTCCTTGCTTCCTAAAGAAATTTTAAAAAAATTGAAATCATGAGGTGCTGATACTTCCTGTTGCGCTACCTGATAAAGACCTTCATATTGCCCCAAACGAGCTCAATTGGGTTGAGGTCGGGTGACTCCGCGGGCCACGCCATGGTATCGACCCCCCAGCTCCTAAGTTTGTCGCTCGTGTAGCGGCTTTTATGTGGTGGTGCATTATCTTGCACAAGACGACAATATCCTGAAGGTGTTAATTACAATGGAGTGCTTCATGATTGATATAGACTGCAGGAGCGAACAAACCGTTATAAACCTTCGATTGGAAAGGAAGGTAGCATCTTTCCAAAATTCTACAGTACAGTTCGCTGTCAATTCGACAGTTTCCCGGTAAAATAGCGAACTGAGTGGTGCCTCGGACCGAGATGCCACCCCAAATGTGAACTTTTGCGGGATGCTTGGCCCTGCTGCGCATTCTTGAATATTGGTCCCCTTGCTTCACAAAACAGAATTTCGTCGAACAGTCAACTGAAATTTGGGTTGGAGCACAAATGTGACTTAGAGTTGCTTATAACATACTCACTTTGAACTGTGCATTCGTCTGTAAAAACACAGTCCGAGAAAACTACTCCTGCCGCAAGCATTTCCGAACAGAAATCGAGGCGAGCCACCTTATTAGTGTCTCTTATTGTGTGGCAGTACTTGGTAGTAGTTTTCTTATATCCTAGACGCCGTCTCAGCCTCTTGATGTGTGTAGTGCTGATGGTAATTCCGCGTGTGTTGAGACGGTTCAAAATATCTATAGCTGTTGCAGAACTATTGTTCGCATAACACCTCTCAACTTCCGACAAAATTTCGTTGTAGTGGACTGAAAAAAGCGACGTCTTTTCGGACCTGAAAGCAGCGAAAATATCCACGAACCACGAAGAGCACGTGGTGTCACCGACTTCCTTGGAGAAGGGGCACCTTCGAATTTCCTTACAAAACGTCTAATCGTTTGGTAACTCAGAGACGGTTCTATCTAAAAATATTTGACATGACGGTTAAGCATCACACCGTCGCCCTGCAAATAGTAAACGAAAACTCAACTTCCGCAGCTCCACAGTCACCGCAAGGATTGATTTCCCTTGTTCTCTCAGGGCAACAATGGTGCTAATTTGCTTGAAAATTCTTTCGCTCATCTATAATCCATGTTGTTACAAAAACAATAACAAGGGCAATGCGAAGAACAGAACTGGCAAGAAGTTAAGGTGCTAATGAGGTGCGAGCGGGGGCGGAACCCTTCGTCCAACTCTGAGTCACACTCGAGGATAACGTGCATATATCCCCTCAACATCAGTGACACCTCGAGGTCAGAAGTGACGCTCCAGAATCCAAAGTGCAATGAAGGATAGACCGGAATATCAAACTGTGTTGGAACATATTTGAAGATTTAATTTTCACTTAGTGACTGAGAGTAAGATACGATAAAGTAGTATATTAGCAGTTCTCTAATACGTGGTTAGGTTTCTTTATTTACTTGTTTATTTACTAGCTCTTTGTTTACCGCCTTCGATCCAGTGGATATTTTTGAAAGGAGGGCTGCTAATGCCCGCGGTGGTGTACTTTGTCTCACCCTCCAGACAGGTAAAATTCATTATTAAGGGTCCCTGATGCCCACAATAGCTCGGTCCGATTTTGTTTACAACGCTACGGTCGCCGTGACGCTTCAAAAATCGGAGACAAACGGGCGTAAAAAGCGGCTTCAAAAAACACGCCACGCATGTTACTCCAGCCCATTGGGAATGAGAAAGTGAAGCAACTGCATGATGTAGCAACGTAATCTAAAGGCTCAGAAAAAAAACGTTCCGTTCTCCGTTCGCTAAAACTAATGAAGTTGGGTCCTGGCTGTCCTTGCTTCACAAACCCTGCCTACACAGCGGTCATATGAGACCCCTCAACTTCGGAGGGGTTTCCAGCAAAAAAAGCTCAGTATCCACTATACCAAGTTTTTAATTTCCCGTCGAGAGAGGGCGAGGGATAATACGAAAACTTGGAACCATGAATGTTCCTACAAAATCCCATAACCATTTTCATAAAAGTCGTATTCCCTCAACAGTCCTAGCGCGACCCCACTTAAAGAAATCCCCAGCGATGAGGTAACCGAATTGCAGCATGTCTTCTCCAATGCGGTGTAAACAACGCTAATCCTTTGCTCCAGTGACAACTCGGGTACGGTAATGCCAGGCAGTAAAACTCGTACGCCCCGCCCACCAGCGCGGTGACCCACTTATTCGTCGACGATAGAATAGACCGGGACCCGGCTGATGCCGTTTGAACGCGCTGAGTTGTGGTCGCTGGCTCACTTATGAAATGCCTAGATCACCAAATCCGCTGAAAATTGAAAATACAGGCTAGGCCTTAACAGAGCGCAGGCTATCGTAGTCAGCTGATTTGATGATCTAGGCGGTCGTAAGTGACGTCATTCGACGTCAAGTGACGTCAAAAGTTCTAACTATTCTATTCTCTCATCCCCTTTTGAGGGGTCTTTTTATTGTTTGTATGCGCCATGCTCTTCACATTCACGACCATCGTTGTGCATGCTATCTACCGAGCTGTGTGGAAGTGCGCCTCTCTGATCTGTGAATGTACTACACTTGAAATTTCGCAGGAGTTATGAGCTTCGCCCTCATATTCTTTCCGCACTCTCGCACCAGTGACGTGGTGCCGGCCTCATCTGTGCCTCGCGGTACAAATGTTGGAGAAACAGCGAGGATTCGCTGGGAAGGGAGGTATTATAAGGGAAAGGTACCGTTTTCTGCTACGATATGGTTACCCAATAAGATTTTGTCCGGAATTTCGTAGTGCCACGTTTATAGTGACCTTCAGGTGCTATTTACTGGCCCAAAAGAGGTCTGCGAATTGAAATCATCTGCTGTTACCACGGATGGAGACCTGGCCGATGATTTATTCGATATATCACCTCTCCCACAGGACGGGAACCAAGGCGACGACGACGCCCACACGTCGTCGGCTGATGCGGGTCCCTCTCCAACAGAGCGAGAAATTGTGATGCGGCTGATAAGAACTGAAGAGGATACTGCTCTCATGAAAAACATGATTATCCAAATGTAAGACATGAAATTCTTTAGATGGTCCCTTTAAGATCATCCCATTTAAGGAATGCTATACTCGCTTCGCACACCCAAAGATTGGAACGTATTGAGCAAGTAGGCAAAGAACTCCTTAGACGGAATCCGACCAAACAAACACAAGGTTTGCTTGCAAAATGTGTGCTTATTAGGAGATGTGATGCTAGTGTCTGGAGCCTCTAGTTCTACTGATTCCTGCTCGTTATGATGCTAATATCCTCCATTCGTGTGTTCCTTCAGGGAACATCGTGTACGCATATGTGAGCGCGAGGGCTGTGGCTGAATTACGAGAATTGAAAGGGCAAAACCGAAACCACTTCGCGCTCACTTTAGAAAAAATGGTCTATAGAGATGACCCAAAGGAAATGGAATTATTGGTTGATGACCGCAATGAGGCAGAAAGAGTTCTTTTTATCCAACAGGTAAAGTGAATCATGGCAGACTCAGATATTGCTTGAAATCATTGGTCTTTCCAGTGTGTTAACAAGTACTATGAAGTTCCTGAACATCTACGAGATGACGTGTGGAGGAAAATCAAGGAAACCCTCAATAGCCGCGTTAGAAGACTTAGGAAAGCTACCAGAGATCGGCAAAGCACTTCTGAGGGCTCACGGCTTCAAGAAGAGGACACTTTGTATCGCTTAGACCTATATGATTGCATATATTGATTTGCTCAGAATGAGTTTTAATCAGAGTGAAATGTAGGCAAAAGATTAGGTGGAAACGCTAAAGCAACTTTCCGGCACCTATAAAATGATTGGAGCAAAAATAAAACTGTTGAACAAGTCCTGCTCATAAAAGTGTTTATCAGTGTTGCTAGGCGTAGTCCTATCGCATAGAGAAGAGGTCATCAGCAATGTAACAGCCACTGACTGCGGGCGATGGCCGTTTTCCCGGGGTCTCTAGTGTGTAGAGCCACTACGACGAAACCGTATACAAGCTAGAGAAAGCAGGACTCGTAGGCCAAGATCCATTAGTCTTCTCACAAAATTGTAAGTTCACGAAGTCAGTGTATATACAGTACCGCCAAAAATTGCACGTGAAATTAAATGTGTTGCGCAGTGAACGCACACAATCGGCGGGGGTGGGAGTTCGCGGGTGGGGCTAGGGAGTGTGAGCGGCACCAGTACCGCTCTCCTGACACCCACCCGCGAGCCCCAGAAATGTGCCACCTAAGTACCATTAGGTGCCGCCTCGCGTAGCTCTGATACTAACCCTGGATACTGTATCCCGCGAGCTCTACCCAAGCTTGTGATTCATTCTCAGAGCGCACGATTGGGTACGTTCACGGCGGACAGATTTAGTTTCATGCCCAATTTTTGCTGGTAATGTGTACGCCTTCGTGGACATATAATCGTATAACCTTTTCGAAAAAAATGCTCTCATTTAATTTGGTGAGTGTTCAATATCTGCTGCTGTCTCTATATGCATGATGGGAGTTTGTCATTTTATGCTTGGAATTGGTAACTCATGGATGTCTGCTTAAGAAAGCATATGCAGAAGTTCTTTACTGGCCGTGTAAATTCATAGGATATTTCACTGGTTCTTCTCGTAGAGGCAGACAATTTTCATGAGAAGTCCCCAGTCCGTCAGGTGGCATCCAAACTTCGTGCCTTCAGGAAGTCCTCTTATCTGAATAGAACCATTAAGTATAATCAAAGTCCTGACTACTTTGGAGACACATTGCGCGATGACATATAGGAATCGCAGTTTTCTGCAATGAAATGTTCAGGTCAAAAAGTTGTAAGCAGGGATGTTGAGGCGCAGGTTGCTCAAGTAAATATGTCCCATTTGTTAGCTGCCGTACCTGTCACCTTGCTCTTCTGCATGCTCTCTCACTCGCTGCTCTTATCTGGTTTCTCGCGAAAAATCCCGCCGAATCACAGTCTCTCGCTAGAAATAAGGCCTTATATGGGGCTTTGT